CCCCTCCCCCCCTCCGAGCGTCTGGCACTTAGTGGTGACACAACCCCTTGATGGGTGTAGCCTTCTGTCAACCGTTGCCAGTCTAATGAAGGGTTTACCAGCCAATGAAACTGGCAAAGTGCAAATTAGTATGTACGAATACACATAACGGCATCCTACTGGTTTCCTAAAGCTCCAGCCTTCACTTCTGGGTTTTCCACTTTCCTTCTTTATTGTGTCCATTTATTTATTTTTACTTTCTTCATTCGCTTTTTCCTCGTGTTTTACCTGCTCTCTTCTCTGACCCTGTCTTACAACTTGCCACTTTTACTGGTGTAAGCTGGCTGCTGGATAGAGAGTGCGATGACCTGAGAAAACCCTGGTTCCTCCATTGAAATTTCAATCACAGCAATCCTCAATTACATAAAAACAGCCTTTGAAGAAGTGCCATCTGGATTTTCATATCTCCTCCCACTCACTCTCTCGGGCCATCTTGAAACACTAAGGTGGCTTGCCGAGGTAATCATGGCTTCCAGCGCTGACAGTGTAAGCAAACGCTTCCATAATTACATGTGTTCGTGCATGATGGGGACTGAGTCAGGAGAGGATCACACAGTTTGTAATCCGAGCCAACACTTGTAGGCCAAGCTTAAGCTGGCAAACATTTCTAAACCACAGTTCAATTAGTGGTAATAAAACTGCAATGCAACAAGTTTTGTTCACTTATTACATTTATTTTGATAGGTACATCAAATTATCCTAAACGTACAAAAGATGGAATTGGTAGTTTTGGACTTGTGGGTCAATAATTGGCTTGCACCAAGAGAGAAGTTAAAGCTGTGAGTAGTAGCAGAATTTGTCAGTGACTGAGGCCCTAATAGGTTTAAAAAGAAAGTCTACGTATGTGTCATATTTATATCATTGAAGTCGAACATTACATTTTTTCCCGTCTAGCATTAGATCTTAGAGAGGTTAAAATGCATGATGCATATTAACAGGTAAAAAAATGTTGCTCTTAATTATGACCATCTTTTCTATTTTTTGCAGAGTCGGGTGTGTGGAGGAGCTGGGACCTGTCCCAGCTGCCACTGGGGGGGCAGAGTACACCTGGACAGCTTGTCAGTGCATCACAGGGCCACACGGTGTTGAAAGAGACAGATATTCACACTTAATCCCAAGATATTAGTGTCATGAATGCCTTTGTGCTGAGAGAGCCCACACACACTCAGGGTAGGATGCAATGCAAGGAGTACAAAAAAAAACCCAGGTTTTCAACAGGAGATGGCACTAACCCTCCCACCACAATGCATGTGGTTTTCAAAAGTTCCAACAAATCAAACGTTCCATACTGTTTGACACTTTTTCTTTTGTTATATATCTGTTCACTTGTCCCTCTATGCACCTTTACCTACTATAAAGAGATGCAATGCACTTCCAATATCTATTTAAAAAAACTAAACAAAAAAGGTCATATTTGGAATAACCTAATGATGTACAATGTCTGAGGGGAATATTGTGATCCACGAGGGGCCGCACAGGCCCATGAATTGTAAATGTCACCAAGTTCACAAGGACCCATGGAGATGTGCTTCTGCATAATGTGAGCTTTAAAATGAGCTGTTTATAACAATGCAACCACCAAATCATTGCCCCCCCCATCCCCATATGGCCCATGCTGAAGGGCAAAATGCATGCCAAGGTAGTTTAAGGTGGCTGGGGCAGATTCCTGGGACTGGTAATGATGTAACAATGATGACATTGTGAAACTATATACGTTTCCAGCTATATAATTGTTGCATTAAAAAAACTCTGCATCTAAAAACGATGACTTAATTAAACCAATAAGCAATTATTTTAAGAATCTTTCCAAAAGCCACACACCCCAGTGTAGCATAAAAGTCTATGCACCGCCCTACAACACACTATCGCTCCAGAAGATGAGATTACTACAGCTCCCCAAGGTAAAAAATGCAGACATTTAAAAAAACAAAACCAAATATGTAACCATCTTTAAGATGCATAAAATAACTTAAATGACGGACGGCAGTCTGAGTATACAATCAAGAAAATGACATGAACTATGTTGTGATTGCACCTTTTGTTGAGGGGATCCAAGGACATACCAGTGGGAAAACACATTAAAATACCAGGAAACAGCACACTAGAGCTGGATAAAAATGCCACAACTAACCTTAATACAAGCAAAAGCTCCCCAAACTGGAGAGAGCCGGTGGGAAAAAAAAAGAAAAAAGAGCAGGACTTTGTCAGTGAATGAACAGGGATGGACATAGAGTGGACAGTGATTACTGACAGAAAGCAGCTGAGGACTCTGAGCCAGGTGAGGAGAGTTGAGCTAATGAAGAGAACCACTAAAGACTGATGAACATAAAGGTGGCAAAGACACAGAAAGAAAACACGGGAAACTAAAAAGGACCTCAAAATAAACAGAGGAAGCCAAATAACACAGAACACAATAAAAAACTCCAAACCTAACCTGAAAAACACAGCAAACCAGAATAGCATAACCAAAAATGCCCAAAACATAACAAGCTCCACTCAATCCAACAGTTTCTGCTGTTATTTGACTTTCTCTGACTTGACTGTCACTCACAGTAGTTTTCGACACTAATGATGAAGAAAGTGGTTTTGGTTCTAACACATTTTTTCCTCCACGGACAAATGCAACTTTTTCATGCTGTGAAGTGAATTTTTATTTTATTTTCCTGCTTCCACTTCAGTGCAGCCCTGTAATTTAGTCTTTCATCACTTTACTCAAACCCAAACCATTTTCTTAAATGAAAAGGCCACTCTTGATTTCAAAGTTAAATACTCCATAAGGCTCAATGAACATAGACTGAACCTGGCAATTGTGCATGAATATGAAGACTGCTTAGTTTTATGTTGGGATGTCTGCAGAGTTACTAGTGGATAGACAGTACTGGTGACTCATCAAATATTAACAGCAAATCTCATGATCTTGATTCATTTTAATAAAGTTGCAAACCTTGAATGATGGCCTGCAGACGCATGTGTGTGCAGTGAGCAGTGTGGAGGAGAAGGAGAGACAGAAAATTAGCATTAATCTACCCTTACTATGGCCAGAATGATCCGGGCTCTGTCTGCAGCTCACTTCATCACGCTGAACATTAATAAAATGAAATCTGGAAGGCCTTTTCATGCAGATCAGGCATGTCTCCTCACAAAGTCATGATTGGTTTTTTAAATCAAATACAAAACAGATGAGTGCTGAACAGATGCCTTTGCTTTTCTCGTTTGTTTGTTTGATTGTTTTCAGGTTTTTTTCCACTGAGCTTTGACTCTATATAGAATAACTTCTCAAGAAATGATCAGAAAGAAAAATCCCAGACATCGATCCAGCTGTCTATCTATGACTGACCTCAACACAGGTGACTTTTTCACCTGAAGAAAGCAGAAAAAAGCTGCACCTCGGTAGGACAAGTCTGATTAAAGCATCCGTCACCCTCAGGAGAGCCCCACAGTCTCCAGACTCTTCCTTTATCTTCCGTTTAGGCAGGTGAGATTAGAAATGCATTAGCATGCCTCTGTGTCACTGTGTTTTAATTAAGCTACTAATTTCGGTGGGTGGGTGAGTTGCCGTGGGGTGCAGAGTCCAGGCCTGACGTATGTGAAGGCTGATCCATGGGCCAGAGAACACAACGCTTCTCTTAATGTCACCCCGCCCCTTTTCCCCACAGACATCACATCCCTCTTCTCTCCCGCAGCGAGTGGGGTGTCGTTAAGGAGCCTGAGCTGGCCTCGTCAATAATTGAGAAGCCAGAATCATGTAGAATTCTCTAAGAACCCTGTCTGCCACCCTTTGTACTTCTGAGCTGTGAACTGATTAATATTTCATCCGTGCTTGTGTGTGTGTGAGAGAGACAGATGTCAAGGTTAATCTGCACCCCTGGAACATAAACATTTCCCTTCTCCGCCCGGCCGCTGATGCACCTGCCTCTCTCCAGAAGTGATCAAAAATCTCCTTTAAAAGCACACTAAAGTGTGCAACAGGTCTTGGGTGGATGTAGACAGAGTGAGGCGTGTCTGTAGGAGCTGTAAACGCAGCCAATCAGAACAGCTTCTGGCGTCACTTCGGCTCAGACAGCAACACATTCTGCTGCTCGGGCTAATTGGAGACGGTGTCAAAGTGCTCACAGTGTTCTTTTGTCTAGCTTTTGCCGGCTCCTCGCAGCATCTTGATGAGCGAGTGCGTGTTTCTGAGTGGATAAGATCTGATTGAAGACACTAGCTTTGTAACACTGGGATGCTTTCCCCCCAGTTTTACTTTAAAGAATGAAATTAGTCAAATGGGGTGTCTTCATGTGCACATAAGCTTCTCAAACACAGCAAGCGGTGACGTTGAACACACCATAGAACCACCGATCATGCAAACAGGAGTAATCAGCAAGACAAAAAACATGAGCCACTAGACCAACAGCTTCTGTGGCCCCTTCTCCTAACGCGGTCACCCTGACTTTGTGTCTCTACGAATGTGTAATCTGAGATGATGCTCATCCTTGGTCAGCTACAGCCTAAACTAGGAACAAAGCCAGGAAAACTTATCATGTATTATGAGGGATTATAAGCTAAATGGACCAACAATAAAAAAACATAGACAAATAAAAGTTATGTAAACGTACTTTCCAAAGCACACTGGCAAAACAGTTGGGCAATTTTCTAAAATAAGACCATTTGCGTGGCCTTTACTTGCGTAGAATTAAAGTTCTCTTTTGATATAGCTATCTAAAAACCATAAAGAAGAAAAGAAAAGATTTCCAGCCTATAGAATGGATGAAAACTGTCAAATATGGGCAAAAAGCCCTTCTGAAAATAAATGTAAGCTTCCCACTGAAAAAAGCCTTTAACAATGAACAAGAACACGGTGTACTGTATTTTTATACAAGCTCTCGGAATCCCTATCTCTTTCAATTCAAGCTGCTAATCCTGTTTCACACATCATCATCCAAATGTAAACACACGAACAGGCACGCCGTTGGACTCACCCACTTAGGACCACGATGAAGTCCATGACGTTCCAGCCGTTCCTCAGGTAGGAACCCTTATGAAACACGAAACCCAGGGCGATGATCTTTATTCCCGCCTCCAGGCAGAACATCCCGATGAAGTACGGCTCCGTCTTCTCCTGTTGGTTTGGAGCAGGAAACACATCAGATAGGTGCACCCAGGTGCCACGTGTGGGTTTTATTCCCATGTGCGGGTATCTCACCAGTCTCTTGGACATGGGGGTTTTATCCTCCCCGGGAAGGTGCTGCTCCAGAGCCAGGACGATACAGTTGGCAATGATAGTGGCCAGGATCATGTACTCAAAGGGAGTGAAGGTCTCGAGTTAAAGAGCGTGTTAGAAATTGAAAACATTTACTTAAAGAAAAAAAAATGGAAGCAAGGAAACTGATCAAAAACATACCAACAATTGTTAGATGTGGGAAAAAGCTTCTCAGTGGAGAGTCAGGAAACAACATGGCTTATTCTCGGACTGATTCATTGATGGGGAGTTTTATTTGCTGCTGTGCTTTTCTTTCATTGAGATGATTGGAAAGTATTGACTTTTGTTTCAGTAATGGATTCAGCCGATGCACTTTTGGAGAGGATATACAAAAATAGGCTCTCTGGGGGATTCTTTGCCACCATTAAATGTGATGGAAATTTTCATGAAAAAATAAAGACATGGATGGGGTGAAATAATTATAGGTTCAGGTAACAAACATCAAGTTCCATTTTATGTACAAAGCATTCAATTAAGAGTTAAGTAGAGGATGAAGAAAAGAAAGAACACGATGTAGTTAACTACAGTTAACCGAGCTGACCAATACACTGTCCAGAAACACAAAAGGGTACGCATCAGAAGGAGTTAGACTGGAAATGCAGAAGACCCGGGTCTGAGACCCACCAGACTCAGGCTTTAACTTTTCTGTGCTCCGCGGCAGGTTACAAACACACAGACGGCTCATCAGGAGGAGAAATGCTAGCCAGTCTGACATTTGATCACATTAACAGGGTCACTCTGACTCCAAGCTTCACGGCATGTACTCTCAGACCCGTGTTGGTTGTTGGTTCAACTCCAGCTCCTCCAGCATCGAGCCAAGCCAGCAATGTGCTTTTTATCTAATGCTTTGCGTGGGCAGCCCCCCCCCTCCTCCTCCTTGTTAAGTGCAGAAAAGGGAGGAAAGGAAGGGAGCTTAAATCTGCAGAGAGAAGATGGAGCGAGGAGAGAAGGGGGGCAGATTTTACAGGGAGGGGTGCAACAGGAGGAAGTGGAGAGGGGCTGACAGCCGATCAGTGCAGGAGAAGACAATGGTTATTTAGAGAAACACAAGCTTGCGAAACAGGATGGTGTGGAGGAGGCAATGAGACCAAATAAGACTGACACCGGACAGATCAATGTTGTGTTGGCAGTGCGAGCCAACGGGGGTTACTCAGGGACAAATGAGTGATGAGGAGTTAAGTAAACAGAGCAAATCCAACCCTCCCACCAGCCTGCAGAGATTCTAAACCAAGACTGGACCACATATCAGCTCTGGGCTTTGGGTGTAAAAAATACAACTTAAATCACACAACCAACAGGAGAAAAAAACAGAGAAAAACGCAGAAAATAAAGATCAATAAGTTCATATCTTGTCTCAAGGAGGAGGTTTGGTTTTTGGGTTCTCTGTTTTCTTATTCTGGGCACAGTCAGCAGGTCAGCTCCGGGCACTCTGGACGCTCCCAGCATCAGCCAGCAGCCACACCCCACATTCCCACAATAAACCCAAAGAGGGGATGGACAGAGAGGATGGAGGGATGCAAGAGGGGGGGAAGAAAAGTGAGGAAATGAAGATAGAGAGACAGAGGAGGGAGGTATCCACGGCAACAGGATCCTCTTGCAGCCCCTAAAAGTCAATGCTTCAAGATGGTTACTGTGCAGCTGAACCATCTGAGAGGAGGTAGCTCCGGGCTCACAGAGGCTACATTTTCATTTAGCTAATATTTGATATTTAAACTGTCCTTTCACAAAATAATTTTGCGATTTTCCAGTTTATAATAAGAGATGTTCTCAGATTGAAGCATTCAACAAAAGGCAGCCTTCAATCTATTATGTTTTCATGTTTTCCGAAGAAAGCTGAAGATCTTTTGTGCCTTATGTGATCACTTCTGCTGATACTACTCAGGAACTGGCATCCATAAGCACAGGAGATCCATTTCTATGATGTATTTACTTCAGCTGGGGAACAGGTTGTGATGCAACTGGTCGAAGATACGAGATGAGCTTATCTCACAGGATGCTCTGGATGGCCTTGAGGAAAGAAAAGAAACTCGTTCTGTGTCCTCTGAGTGCAGGTGCAGTCGCTCAGACATCCACAGCTAATAGTCCATTATTCTACGCGCTTACACAAAGCATAAGAAATGCTTTTAGAAGCATATAGGATCATTTTCTCAACACCACCTTAAGCTTAAAGATGACTTTAAACATTTGGCTGAGAATTTTTTTTACTTAAAAACAACAGGCAGGTACAGAACAACAATAATCACGGGCAGATTTTCAGTCCACATGAAGAAATGTTCAGTGTTATTCTACTCATTGTTACTCAGGACCAGCCTTTATGGGGAATTACCATCTTCATATGTATTCTTTAAGTTTCCATCTTGTTTTCTTAGATCTTTCTGATGAGTACTTTACTTGTGTTAAGCTTTATGTTAAGTTAGTGTTTGATGCAGTTCCTGTCTTTGTTTTCCATCAGTTAACTTCATCATTTGTTATTTTGTTCAATTGTCCCTCTGTGCTTTGTTTCTTCTCCTCCTTCTTTCTGTTTCCGCCAATGTATTTTGGTTTGTTAGTCTCAAGTTTGTTCTTCACTCCATTAAGTTTATCTTGTATTTTCTGCCTAAAGGCCTTTTCACAACCTGTCAGTGTGCTCATCTGCCTTTAACTTTTTCTAGCATTTCTTATCGGCTTTATCATCCTTTTATCTGTTGCGGCTGACTTATTTTGGAACTTAAAACTGAACAATCAAAGCCTGCAGTTCATTGCTACTAACTAGAATAATTTGTTTGTTCTGAGGAAACTGTTTTTTCAAACTTAATTCCAGTTAATTACAAAGGAAGGGATTTTGGAGCATATCGATTAATGGGCATGAGGCTTTTGGTGTTTGTGGTTTTAGTGACCGCAATGGAAATAAACTCTATTTATTTCATTTTAAAACATTTGTGTCTATATAGTACTTTTGCTCAACTGTCTTATTTATGAGGCTCTCAAAATATGTTTTGAATTGAAATAAGCAGTTTTTCCTGATTCAGTATAAGTTAGATCAAATCAATTAGAGACAATTGCAGTCATTAGCATTGTTTTTAGTCAAACAATTTAAACACAACTCCACAGCTCATCTATATTCCGATTTTACCTTTTTTCACAGCTCTCTTAAAATCTCCTTTTAACAGCGGTACAGTGAACCCGTACAGAATACTAATGTGCTGACATAATAAATCGCTCTGTGTAGCTACAGAACATAAATATTTGATTTATTACAAAGAGTAAAAACACTCCATCGATTAACAGGCTTATTTAATTTCATTATGTGTATTTTAACATGTCACCTATTCAGGTTTTGTATACCTGAGTTCAACTTTAGACCAAATAATCTCCAAATATTGGGTGCGTGTATAACTCCTTAATTCTGATTCTGAAATAAATTAGCATGAACAAACTCAACAAGTGTCCCCTCCTCCTCTCCTGTGCAGCTCTGGGCGTCAGCTCATGTGTAATTTCAGTCGTGATTTGTCTACCAGCTCCAGGAGTGAAGCGTCTCGTGAGCCATCTGAGTCACAGTGACGCTGGCGCTCTGCCTCGACTCGTCAAACATGCGTGTAAAAATAGACACAGAGACGGAGTGTGATGCCCTGTGCGTCTGCGAATACACTCAAACCCAGACTCAAGCTAACACCGATGATTGAGAAGAGAAAATAGAAATAAAACGATAGCATCTGAGCTGGGCTTACTGTAAATCTGAGCTCTCTGAGGCATGTGTCTGGGTATAAACATGAGGCAACATTAAATATATAAAGAAAGGGAAAAAACCCTGGCACAAACTGTGTTGAGCTCGGGCATACACACGGGCTAACAGCATCAAAGATCATCAGTTCACTTCAACTTTTCAAATTGGATGGTTAACTGGAGGCTGTATCAGAATTCAGTCTTTCTTTGATATGGTTTCCCCTCTGATGGCTGCTCGGTGTGGCTGATCATGCTTATGGGTAAATGTGGACATGGTGCAAAAAGATGTGTTTATACATGAAAGATTTCACACCAAATAATTCACAGCTCTTTTTTTATACCATTAAGTCCAAAACTATCCAATGCCATATTTGTACACTAACTGAACCTTTTATTGCCTTATGTCTGGGATACCGCCAAGAATTGTACTCTGTGTCCTTAGATTACAAAAACTAGTCCTACTGAGCAAAAGCTTCAGTCATTTTAAAGAAAAGGGATAAAATGATGATTTAGAAGACAAAAACAAAATATAAACAACATTTTTTCATCTGTTTAACTTGTACCATTTTTCTTCATTAAAGATGAAGAATAATAAGTTTCAGAGGAAAAATGCATCTTATGGAAATAAGTGAAAAATTAAGTATAGTACCATGGCAACATGCCTTGTTCATTTCCCTCCAAACTGCCCATTTCCTCTTTCATGCCAGGACAAGATTTAGTTAGAAGGAAATTAGTGCCGCCACCTCAACTTTCAGCAGACTCTGGTGGCTTATGACAGGAATTCACCGCCTAATGTGAACATAATTACATTACCAATTGAGGGATATTAAATCCTTTTAAGATGTATAAGCGAGAACAGTGACTCTAAATCATAGCTAAAGGTCAGTACCACAAATCTACCATAAAGCTTATTACATAACACAAAGGTAAAGCTGCTGATGAGCTATCAGATGATAATTTCTGTTTGCACTTCTGAGGAAACAAACTATTAAACCCAACAATCAATTATTCAGAGGTGTATCTTCTCACTGGGAAACTTCCCACTGCAGGGGGTCTCAGTGGGGATCACACCAGAGGAGCAGCTGCCGATCCTCACCCGGCCTGCCACAGTAACCTGGGAGTGTTTGTTCATTAGCCCTGCCTCTTCCCTGCCAGGCCTCCACCAGCCTAGATCAACTGCCCCCTTAGGCGTCCGGGCTTGACAGGAAGACTCCATACATGCACAAATCTCAGTGCACTTTGTTGTCATTAGCTTGCATAGAGATCATAAAAGCAACATCGCACTTAAATAAACAGAAAAACTTAGGGCAACAAGCTGGTTCAAGTCCACACAC